GGATCGCCCCTTCAGGCCGCACCCAGCGGGACGCGCCCCTTGCCCAGCCAGCACTGCTGGGCTGGGTGCTGCCCTGCGGCTCGTGGGCTCACCTGTGGCCAGGTTATCGATGTGCTCCCGAAGCTCCACCTGGCTCTCCCTGGGGAAGCACAAAGGCAATCGGTCAGCGCTACTCCCCAGAGGGGGCTGCCCACCCCGGCCCCAGCCAGCCAGGGGAGCCCAGTGAGGCCTGCCCGGACCCAGCCCCGGGGAGCCTCTGGGCAACCCCCAGTGCCAGACTCAGCCCCTGGGCCCCCAACACCACCGGGCACTGAGCTCAGCCCAGCCCCCCCATGGGGCTAGATCCCAGCTGCAGCTGGCCCAGCCCCCCAGGGCCCCAGCCCATGCAACCCCCCTTGCCCTAGCCCCTCTCCCGGGCACCAGCCCATTCAACCCCCCCATGGGGCTAGATCCCAGCTGCAGCTGGCCCAGCCCCCCGCCCTAGCAGCCCCTCCCTCCATCCAGCCCCTCCCCCTCCTGGACCCCAGCCCCAGCCGCCCCTCCCCCAGACACCTTCCTCCATCCAGCCCCTCCCGGGCCACAGCCCCCCAGCCCCCAGCCCCCAGCCGACCCTCCGCCCTCCCAGGCCCCAGCCCATCGCAACCCCCCCATGGGGGCTAGATCCCAGCTGCAGCTGCCCCCAGCCCATCGCAACCCCTCCCCCCCCACTGGCCCCCAGCCCATGCAACCCCTCCCCCCCATGGCCCCAGCCCCATGGGGCTAGATCCCAGCTGCAGCTGCCCCCCCCCGACCCCGCCCCCCATCAGGCACCTGACCGCGTGCACGTGCGAGTCGAGCTGGCGCGCGGCCGGCCGCAGGAACTCCAGCAGCCCCTCGGCGAAGAGGTCGCGAGCCCCCGACCCCGGGGTCCCCGCGCCAGGCCCGGCCAGCGCCGCCATCGCCCCGCCGCGCAGCCTGCCGGGAAGCGGCGTGCCCGCGCGGCGCCCGCTGGGAAATGGAGTGCCGGGGCTGTGTCCCTGGTGCAAAGGCCTCTGGGAAATGTAGTTTCCCAGTGGGCAGAAGTCACAGACCAGAGCCCCCTGCAGCCAGAGCCAGCGCCCCCCCCAGGCAGCGCCGAGCACACGGGGCATCCTCCCCAAGCCCCCCACATCTGCACTCTGCCCCCCTGCGGTTCCCTACACCAGCTGTTCTCAAGGGGGGGCCGTGAGCAGCTTCGGGGGGGGGGGGCTTAGACTCCCTGGGGCCCAGGGCAGAAAGCCGAAGCCCGAGCGGCTTAGCGCCCCAGAGCCCCCTTAGGGTTGCCAACTTTCTAATAGAACAAAACCCAACACCCTTGCCCCGCCCCTTCGAAGAGCGCCCCCCCCCGTCACTCACTCTCCCCCCACCCTCGCTCACTTTCACTGGGCTGGGGCAGGGGGTTGGGGTGCAGGGGGGGGGAGGGCTCCGAGCTGGGAGTGTGGGCTCTGGGGTGGGGCCAGGGATGAGGGGTTTGGGGTGGAGAAGGGGGCTCCGGGAAGGGGCTCAGGGCTGGGGCAGGAGGTTTGGGGGCAGGATCGGGGCTGGGGTTGGGATGTGGG